ATGTAGATATATAGTGGCCCAGATACATATATATAAAAATATAACATCCCAGGAGGGACCATTCTATTCTTTCAGCTATTGCAAAGGGGGGTGGTGATGTCCCTGGGATACGTATAAACAAAATCAATCCCTGTTTAGACTGAATTCAGGGCCCCCTTTCCTTCACTTATAAATCCTTTTATCCCCTCTATATAAAACCACCAGGACTACAAAATCCTTCTGCATGTTGTATTCCCCAACACATGCTACCAACATATCAGTGATGAAAAATAGGATCACCTTGGCCCCTCCTCGACTGGGCTAATATATTTTAATGGCTGGTGCAGTGCTGAGGGTCTCTGGTGGCTTGTGACACCAAAAGACTGACTGGCTTTTGCACCCTGCTGCCCTGCCACACACCCACTGCTTGCCACTCACTTTGGCACACAGGAGAATGTCCAAGAAGTCCAAATGTCTCTTATTCTGGATCTTTTCAAATTCCCGTTCATCTTTAAGGGACTCCTTTCGCTCATGGATCACCTTGTCTGGGGAAGAAAGAGTTAAAGGTTCATCAGGGGCAGAAGATGCTGAGTCAGCCTATTTTGCCCACCCCTCCTGCATAAAAATTTCCTGGCCTGGAAAGGGAAATCATTCCTTGCATTGGTGTTGGCTGCAGTGCCCATCCCTTGTCTCACCAGTCTCTGGGCATTTAACAGGAGTGTTCCCAGAGGGGAATTCCTCCATTAGTTCACGTTAATAACCCAGGAACTGTAAGACCCCTTTGTTTCATGCCTAGATCAGACCACTGCTGCAAGCTGATGTTCTGCTTGGATCCCAGCTCCAAGCCTCGGGGCAGGATCACTGCATGGGCAAAGAGGTAACCCAACTGCCTCTGGTCAGCCACCACTTGCTCTGTTCGAAAGCTTTGGGAGAGGATGAAGGCAGGGAATACCTGTGTGGTCGTGAGCAACCTGGCAGGCCTTCCTGAACTGATATCCGTGGGGGCTGAGCCAGTAAATGATGTCATTGTGGTAGGGGAAGATGCGGAGGCGCTGGTGCACCATGTGGCACAGGTTGTAGACAGCCTGGATGTAGGTGTTATTCCTGGGGAGAGGGGAATGGTGGAAGTTTGTAAATCTGAGAGCATCATGACAAGCAATTTGCCCATTTTCCTTCCAGGCTGCAAACTTTCTGGCAGGGTTTGGGGCAGCCAGCACTGACCTGTCAGTCTGGCAGTTGCTGTGATAACTGAAGGCACATTTCATGATGCTATCGAGAGTCATCAAGCTGACGTGCTCAAAGAGCTCCACTGGTTTCCCATCTGTGATCAGCTGCTCCCATTTATCCTGGGGTGCAAAGGGGACAGAAATGAGAAGGCAAGGGATAGATCTGCACAATCTGCAGTTATCCTCTGCTTAAATTAGTGCTCAGCTGGGGATACATCCCAGAGAAAAGGAAAAAAAGAAGAGCATCTCTTAGTTGCCATCAAAATCCCAGAGAAGGGAAGCCAAGAGCAGGATGGTTAATACAAGAGTAGACACAGGCAGCTGCCACTCTGAATCCTGGCAGTGGTGAGCCCTGGTACACCCACCCTACCTGGGGCAAGGGCACCCTGCAGAGTCCCAGGACGGGTGCATTGCTGGGTGATGGGGCACGTTAACAAAGCCTTTCTCAGGGTGCAGTGTGCTTCCTGTACAAGAGCAGCGTGTATTGGCATTGGGCTTCACTGAGTCTGTTCTCAAGCACCTATGAGTTTGGTGCCTAAGATGCAAACTTTTGACCAAGGTTTTTCCTCTATCACATGATCTCTCTGCTGCTGTGTTTTTCCAGCATATAATACAAGAGCCCCTGCTCAACTCTTCCCATAGGGGATCCCTAGAGAAACTATAAATGGTTTTTCTCTTGCCTGGCAGACATGAAATGATGTTGACTCCTCTGTCCCTTTGTGGCTGGAAGGAATCAGTGGACTCAAAAGCTGAGAAAGGGAGGAGAAGGAGGCTCACAGGCACATCTGAGCTCTCACAGCATGAAACCAGGCTGGGGAACAGGGTTTCTACAGACAGACTCATGTGTTTAGCACATACAATGATTGCCACCTGGTGGCATGGGCTCCCACAAGAGGCATGTTGCATTGTCTGCACAGAATCATGAGCTGCCAGGCACTTGTGTGCATTGCAAAAGCTCTCCTGGCTCTCCAGCCCCTGGCTCCTGGCTGCTCCCTGGGCCAGTGGGAGGGAGGACAGCCAGGATCCATGTGGAGCTGCTGGGGAGGCTGGATGGAGGGAGGCAAAGGAGGAGGAGTAGATCCGACTCCTGGTGGTCCATGTGCACAAAGCCTGGTGCCCCTCACCTGTAATTCACACAGGTTTCCATCGTGCCCAGCACTGATGGATGGAAGAGCAGTGCAGTTTCACTGTGCATTAGACAAAGCAGGGATTGCAAACCAGTCATGGATATGCTGACAGCAAAGGATACCCTTTACCCTTAGGTAACAGTATAGCTCTGCTCCAGCCTTTATGTTTTCAGGATTTATTATGAACCTTTATTTACTTCAATTCTTCATTTACAAAAATGTCTTATAAGAAGTTGCAGTTGGGATTGAGATTATGCACAGTTTATGGATGGCAGTAACATTAATCCCCAAATTTTAGCCACAGAGCCCAAAGCACTGCCAGAGACACAATCCCTGCTGGGAGCCTCACCCTGCTCATTCCTTCCAACTCATGGGCAGGCATTTGTGGTGACTCAGGAAGCTTGACTGCCAGGACACAGCCTGTCCTTACAATTACCAGGTTGTTGGTAAGGGCACCGCAAGAAAACTCTGCTCCAGCATTTACCCACTACCCAGTCAGGATCAGGGGAAAGAAAACAGGGCAGAGAGAGGAGCATCAGATAGGAGTCCTACCAGCATCACATTAGTCGACTCTGCCATCAGGGCCACGTACGGTTTCAAGACATCATAATGAAACCCGGGAGTCAGGAGTTTTCGATGTTGGTGCCATTTTGGCCCATGTAAGATCAGCAACCCGTTCCCTGGGGAAACACAGGCAAGGCACGTTTTGCTGGGCACAAGCAGGCTGCTTTCACCTGCCTGCTGACACAACCTCCGCCTGCAAGAAGCACAATTAAATCTGCTGTCTGAGCTACTACGACAGAGTATTTCCAAATGTTGCCCTCAGCTCCAGGGTTCCCAGGGCTGAGCAGAGACCTGCTCACCAAAACGACATAGCACTGCTTCCGAAAAGGAACACCAATACCACTGAAGCTGAGAAGTTCAGATCAGCAGATGCATTTTTCACTGGTTCTCCACCAAATCTGAGCTTCTCCCACCACCACCCTTTGCTATGTATGGATGTGTAAGTGGTTCTCATTTGTACATATGACTATGCCTAGACTTTCTTTCCTCAAAAGGAACCACAAAAATCACAAAAAATAGCATTATATAGTACCTTTTTTAGTAAACGTAATAATTTCAGGACGATTTAGCTATAACTGCATCAAGGAACAAGCACAATACTGGTTATGTATAGCATGTGCTTGACTTACTTCAGAATCATTCCTGGTAGGCAAAGCCCTGGGAATACATACCGATCCACGGGACGAGGTGTTTATAGCTGAGGTTATCCTTGGGATCTGTAAAAAAAATTGTCAAGAAAGAGAAAATAAAATAGTAAATGTTTCAGTAGCATCAGTCCACTGGTTTGCACCTGAAAGCTCCCACTTGTGGTTGGGTATGAAGCAGAACCGGTGGCATCCCTGCAGAATTCATCAGTATTTCACAACAAAACAACACTGTTTGGCCCGGCTGCAAGAACCGTGTATAAATGCCCAGACTGGCATAAACAAGAATATTGGCAGTCCAGAGTCTGCACTGTGTGATAAATGATTAACTCTCCCAAGCAGCACTGTTTAGCACGTTTCTCTCTCAACGCACTAAAGATATGGCTCCACAGTAGGAGCCAGGGACCTGAGCTGAGAAAAAGTTTCCAGCTATTTTCTCCTTGCTGGGGTCAGGCACCAAGAAGATAACTTTTCAAGGAGCGCTTTGAGGAAGTTTGATTTGCCAAATTTGGAGGGACCCCCATCACCCCCATAGCCCTGTGCCTGAAGGACCGAGGGCACAGCACAAAGGAGGGGTATCTCTCTGTGCCTTCAGATGATTTCTGCAAGACAACCTCTCTGCAAAACCCTGCCTTGCTATGAATTTTTAGGTTGGCATGGGAAATCTGCAGGCTATGGTTGTTGCTCCACAGCTGAAGGCATCATCGTCTCACCTGCTCTGGCCAGCAGAGCCTTGGCATAGTCGGGATCGGTGATAATCAGGAATGCTGAGAAACTCCCAGACCAGAACGGGTGAGCGTAAGGGTACTTCTGTGCCCAGATCTCCACCTTGTCCAGCATCTCTTCCTGCTTGAGAAACTGTAGTTGTGGGCAAGCAAAAAGAGAAAGAATACTTAGATTCAGAAGAAAAAATAAATAAGTTCCTAAGCCACTGCCCTAAAAAGCACAAGGTCTTCCTGTGTCACAAAACCAGGTAATGGCAGTGTGGTGTCCCTCTGGGTTTGCAGAGCATCAGAAGTAGAGATGCTGGTTACTTTTAAACATCACAAAAAATAATTATTCCTTTTCAATTGACCCTAACCATGGAGAACATCCTCAGGAACTGTGCTGGTGCCTATCAGTGCACGTATGTTATCTGCTCTTTTTTCCATGGCCACCCCAAAGAAGACTCAGATTTGCCCCAGACAGCATCTGCATTTTGTGGTGTGCAAACAGGTTCTTGCTCACACATGGCTGAGCAGTTAGCACCCTGCAGTCATACAAGAATACAGCAGCACTTTTACAGCAGCCAACGGCATCTCTGCTGTGTCTTCCCCAGTGCAATGATGCCTCCTGACCGGGAAACCTGGACCACAGGTTCCTCCAGCCATTTAGGTGGAGAAGGGCAGTGTCCAGGTAAAATTCAACAGAATGAGTCCACAGTCATTGACCGAATGTACAGAGGAGGGGATACTGGTTAATAACATCAGATTAAGAGTTCATTGATTTCCAGGAATTGAATTTAATAGGCAATGAGGAGCTGGGGCTCCCAGAAAGGTTCATCACTGCTCCTTGGAAGCTGCACACTGAGCAGCAATGTGAGCACCAGCACTCATATCAACGACACTGGCAGGTTCACTTTTTGAAAGCTATCACCATTTTATTGCTTTTATAGCCAGTGCTTTTATATATTAAACAGGCAATAGGCAACAAGTGGAAAGATTGGTGGAGAGATCCAAAGTCACAGGCAGAGAAAAAAAGTTTACAGAGACAAAACCATGTAAAAAATCCCTTTTCTTTGAGCAGAAATGACTCTGCCACAATGTGCAGGGGGAAGGATTTTGGTGAGCTAGAGCTGACACAGCTGCTGCTGCTTTGACTTGAAGCTTGAAGTTCAATTACATCTGCATACTGGTGTAGAAATCAGCCACAAAGTCACCCTATTGACTGAGCCAAGTGACTATTTACGCAGTCACTTTGGGGCTGGGTTAGCTCAGCTCAGCTCTTAGTTTGGCTCATGTTTCTCAACCTGAGAGATGGCTTGTATTTAAATAATCCCATCTCAGGCTTGTCTTGGAGAGGACGCGCAGTAGCTGTGGGGTGTCTGCCAGGGGACTGTACATGCTGTGTGGGGCCACAGCCTGGCTCCGCACACCAAGGCTGAGCCCCCTTCCCCGGGAGCCAAGGGGGTCCCTGCAGCACATCCTGTGTGTCTCCTGCATTCAGCAGAATGACGAACTGCATACAGCTATAATTTATGACAAAAAGTTGTCATTCAACTTCTTTTGCCCAAGTTCAAGACTTTGGACTTATTAAAAAGAACCACCAATTTCTCTGGTTGCAGGGATCAAGTTTTGGGGTGAAAGGAGGCAGCCCACCCCAGCGCCCACCCATTCGTCAATGCCAGCAGAAGCAGGGCTTAGCACAGTGCCTTTAGCTGAGTGGCACTTGAATACACAAAGTCCCTTTGATATGTCTGCTTGTGCTTCCTCCCATCGCAAAATCACAGAAAGCAAAATGGAAGTAATTGGGAGATGCTGAGCAAGCCTGGCAGAAGTCCTAATGCTAGAAGCCTTTTGCATCCAGCCTTGGTTTTGGAGCGCTGGCCTTGGTTTGTGCTATCAGGAACCATTTCTGTGCTGGCAGAGGGTAGGATGGGTTTACCTGAGAGGTTACCCCCGAGGTGAGTAACCTCTACCAGCTATGCCGAGCACTCCCAGGGGCAGAGGGTGTAAAGTCCTATGGGCTGCAGACGAATAGGAATGGAAAACTCCTGCTTCTCAACCAGGGCTTCTGCTATCAGGGTCTGAATGAAAGACCATCATTTCTACTTCTTCTTCCCTTGGGGGCTTGAAAAGAAAAGTATAACCCCCACCAGGTCTAAGGAAGAAGGGTAAAAGCCTGATCTCACAGGGAAATGCAAGTTTTGAAACGGATCCAACACTAAAAGCATCGGGAAGAGACGCTTAAAAGCCCTTTTAATGACTGTGCACCGATAGTAAATGAAACAGAAAACACAGGAGCTGAAATCTGAGCACAAAGCTCAGTTAGAACCAGGCTAGCTCCCCTCCACCAGCCGCCCGCCGAAGGACCGACAGCCCCCCTGCACCCTCAGGCAGCTCCCCGCTCTCTCTTCTCTGCTTCCCACCAACTGTGGCCTTGGGAAGTTGGTTTGGCCAGCTTGGGGCTCGCACTCCAGGTTTTAACTGGGTCGTGCTGCTGCCATGAGACTGAACAGCTCTGCATCACCTCTCCTCATATTTTAATGTAATTTCTGCTGAGTGATTTGGATAAGCAAAGACTAATACCTAAGAATCCTTTAAAACAAAGTGATGTCTTCCCAGGAGACCCACCCAAAGCATGACAAAAATATTTGAGATACTAAAATGACCTGAATCAAAACTGGCAATGAATCCCTTTCAATCAACAGAACAGGAAATGTCAGTGCTCTCCCTGAATACAGCTCTCAGGTCCTCCTCTGACGTGTGTGTGAACTTTGTATTCAGCCTGTGCCCGGCGTACTGCCAGTGTCCTCACTGGCTCAATCGACTGCTGGGCTCTGAGGAATTCAGCAGCATTTAATCAGCCAATGACTAAATCTGCAAAACAGGAATTCTTCAAAAAATATTGTCTGAGGTAAAAGTCCAGCTGTGAACAACCTAGTCATGATGAGAGCGAGTGATCGGCACAAACAGTTAAATCCTATTCCAGGATAAACAGTCACCAGGAGAACATACTTTATTTAATTGCAGATTTAAAGTCTAACTGGCAGTGCAACAAAGCCCCGAACTGGCCCATCTTCATGCTTATATTGCCAAAAGACTGACTGTCCTGTCCAGTGCAGCAAAAATGGGGCTGGCATGGCACAGAGACAAGCCCTAGGAGGTCTCCTCCAGATTTCCCAGCAACTTTTCAGGGTGCCGGTCATTTAATGTGCCACAGATTTGGCCAGGGCAGGGCATCAGCAGAGTCCAGGGTGATTTTAAGCAGCCTTTAGCATGTATGGAAAAGCCTTTTGCATCAGGCAGCTCAGTTACTCATCACGAAGCTGCTGATGAGTTGTGGAAATCTGCCAATGCAGCCACGCTGATCTGTGCGGGCAAGCACATACCGCGGGGAACAGCCACCCACGCCATGAGCACCCCGAACAAGGCCTGCTTACATGTGTGAGTTCAGTTCGTCGTGACTGTAATGAAACCTTAAAAGACCCGTGGCCCCTGTGCTGGATGCTATCCTTGCTGGCCAGCTCCCACCTCTTTCCACCGTACATTTTGCAGCAGCCTGCCTGTGCTGTTCTCCGGGCATCCCAAGCAGAGAAAGCAGTTTGTGTGGCTGAGGAAAAGGATGCTCGTCTCTCCCTCACCCAGGGAACCAGGAGGAGCAATTCTCCTGGACCACAGGGACAACCCCCACCAGCATCATTC